GAAATTGCAGAGCTAGAGAATGTACAGAGAACCTTTACTGCACGTATAAGTTCCATCAAACACCTTAACTGCTGGGAGCGCCTGGAAGCACTTGACACGTACTCACTAGAGCGCAGGCGAGAGAGATATATCATAATCTACACCTGGAAGATTCTGGAGGGACTGGTCCCTAATATGCACACAGCAGTCACTCCATACGAAACCAAAAGACTTGGCAGGCGATGCAACATACCCCCAGTGAAAAGTAGGGGCGTCACTGGTACGCTAAGAGAAAACAATGAGTGTGCGGGGCCCAAGACTGTTCAACAGCCTCCCACCAGCAATAAGGAGCATTACTGGAAGACCCCTGTTTGTCTTCAAGAGGGAGCTGGACAGATACCTAAAGACGGTGCCGGATCAGCCGGGCTGTGGTTCGTAAGTTGGATTGCGTGCGGCCAGCAGTAACAGCCTCGTTGATCAGGCCCTGATCCACCAGGAGGCCTGGTCGTGGACCGGGCCGCGGGGGCGTTAATCCCCGGAATGCCCTCCAGGTAGACCTCATCAATGTTTTGCCAGAGGGGTGCCGATACTATAGTTCAAAACTGTAAATATCCCCACCCCCTCCTTCAGAAATCAGGCACTGTACTTCCCACCTCCAGGACTCAAGTCCGGCTAACCGGGTTCTCCAAATCCCTTCATAAATGATACCTTGCTAACACAATCCAGGGCAACATGGGTTCAGGGCAGGTCGCTCCTGCCTCTCACAACTACTGGATCACTATGACATGGCCTTGGATGCACTGGAAGAAAATCAGAATGCAGATGTAATATACACAGACTTTGCAAAAGCATTTGACAAATGCGATCATGGCGTAATAGCCCATAAAATACGTGCTAAAGGAATAACTGGGAAAGTGGGGAGATGGATCTTCAACTTCCTAACAAATCGAACACAAAGAGTAGTGGTCAACAGAGTTAAATCGGAGGCTGCCATAGTGAAGAGCTCTGTTCCACAAGGCACAGTACTCGCCCCCATCTTATTCCTTATCCTCATATCAGACATAAACAGAGATATACACCACAGCACCGTATCATCCTTTGCGGATGATACTAGGATCTGCATGAGGCTGTCATCTGCTGAGGACGCGGTTAACCTCCAAGAAGATATAAACAAAGTTTTCCAGTGGGCAACGGTAAACAATATGATGTTCAATGAGGACAAATTCCAACTACTCCGTTATGGAAAACTGGAGGAGATAATAACTAGAACAGAGTATACTACTGACTCCGGCCATACAATAGAGCGGAAAAATAATGTAAGGGACCTGGGAGTAGTAATGTCTGAGGATCTCACTTTCAAGGATCACAACAGTGCCACGATCGCACGTGCAAAGAAAATGATAGGATGGATAATGAGAACTTTCAAAACGAGAGATGCCAAGCCCATGATGATCCTTTTCAAATCACTTGTTCTCTCTAGGCTGGAATACTGCTGTACATTAACATCTCCATACAAAGCAGGTGAAATTGCAGATCTAGAGAGTGTACAGAGATCCTTTACTGCACGTATAAGTTCTGTCAAGCACCTTAACTACTGGGAACGCTTGGAAGCACTTGACTTGTACTCGTTGGAACGCAGGAGGGAGAGATATATCATAATCTACACTTGGAAAATCTTGGAAGGAATGGTCCCAAATCTGCACACAGAAATCACTCCCTACGAAAGTAAAAGACTGGGCAGGCGATGCAAATTGCCGCCAGTAAAAAGTAGGGGCGCCATTGGTACACTAAGAGAAAACACCATAAGTTTCCGGGGCCCAAAACTGTTCAACAGCCTCCCATCAAGCATTAGTGGAATTGCCAATAAACCCCTGGCTGCCTTCAAGAGAGAGCTGGACAGATACCTAAAGTCAGTGCCGGATCAGCCGGGCTGTGGCTCGTACGTCGGACTGCGTGCGGCCAGCAGTAACAGCCTAGTTGATCAGGCCCTGATCCATCGGGAGGCCTGGTCATGGACCGGGCCGCGGGGGCGTTGACCCCCGGAATAACCTCCAGGTAACCTCCAGGTAACACTCCAACAGCACAAGTCATAAAAACCACTTTCCTCCAAGCACTCCTATGTAACACGCTGACACACTTGCTGGATATACAAAAACCCCAGTGGAAATAAGTCACTGATTTTTTTGGGTTATCCTAGGTAATGTACACATATGCTGCTATGTACGATAATTTATGTGCACCTGTACCTGAATAAACTTACCAAGCCTCCTCCATGATGACCAGATATGAATTTTCTCTTATCAGTTTTCGACTGGACTCCGAAACCAGAGTACATCTTCATATAGCAGAATTATGAGCCGTCAGGTCCGCTTTGTATTATAAATGTTATACGAAGAATAAAGCATGAAAGCCTCTTGAATGAGAGGTAATGTAGGCTTAAAATGTGAAAATGTTAACGACAACCACTCCTAAATATAGGTACACATACAACTATGTCGACATGTAGCACATAAATGGAAACGAAAATAACTCACTTTGACTTTTTGGGGGCTATCCTATGAAATTTACAAATATTTTACTCTAAAAGACTTTCTTATTGACCAAAAATTGTAAAACTTAAATAAACTTACTCTTAAATACATTTACTTTCTTATAAGGTTTAATCTACATAATTATTTATGTAACTGTATTTATGTGTACCAGTACCTGAATAGCCATAAACCCGTAGATAGATCTAACATAGTTCTAAATGTCGATAACGAGGTATGCCACGAAATAACTAAAGTGGCAAATTGTTTTAATTCACACTACACAACTGTGACATCAACACTAGTAAGTAAACTACCAGCTGCATCAAATACCTTTACACAGACTCTGATAAATTTAAAACATACTATACCAATAAAGGGGTAACTCCAAACAGTTGTCAACTAGTAAGTGTATCTCATAACTTCGTGCAAAAAGAACTAAGCAGGTTAAATCCAACTAAGAGGACCGGACCAGATACTATCTCGTCTAAGTTCCTAAAATATGGTGCCTCTGAACTGACAATCCCCATTGCTCACATAAATTTGGCCGTCACTACTAACACTGTACCGGAGGGGTTCAAGGAGGTCAGAGTTACTCCTGTCTTCAAGAAAAATAGTAGGTCTGATGTCAGCAAGTATAGACCTGTTAGTATGCTCAGTGTAATATCCAAAATTCTAGAGAGGACGGTATACTGTCAAGTAGTTAAGTATCTTAATGACAACAACATTTTCCATAGTTACCACTCAGGCTTTAGGAGATTTTACTCAACTGACACCTTCCTAATTAATCTGATGGGTTACATGAGAACTGAAATGTCGATAGGGAACCTCATATGTATGGTAACCTTAGACTTGCAAAAGGCCTTCGATACTATCAACCACAAGAAACTTCGAGCTATCGGCACAGGTTCCATAGACTGGTTTAAGTCCTATCTTAACAACAGGAAACAAACTGTCAAAACCAACAAAACAGAATCGGAACCCCTGCCGATAACATGTGGAGTTCCCCAAGGTAGTATTCTGGGTCCCTTATTATTTCTATGTAATGTAAATGACATGCCCATCAGTGTCAAGTGCAAACTCCTACTGTATGCGGATGACAGTGCTTTGTTAGTGTCAGGTAAAGACCCACAAGATATAGCTAGTGTAATAACACTGGAACTGGAGTCCTGCAGCAAATGGTTAGTAGACAACAAACTATCGTTACACCTCGGGAAAACGGAAGCCATACTCTTTGGCACGAAACTCCTCAGAGAAGGTTCCTTGACGCTGGTAAGGGTCTCTTGATCTAAGGAAATGGATCTGTACTCCAGTTCCCTGAACCACGCCTGAATACCTTTCATACATCCCCCCCACAGGCGCTGTATAATCCTACGGGTTTAGCGCTTCCCCTTGATTATAATAATAATTTGGCACGAACCATAAACTGAGAAGTGCAAATAATTTTAAAGTCCGGTGTAATGGGAACCCATCACTTCGGTTTCCTCAGTAAAATATCTGAAAATTCATGCATGTCAGGAGAATTGATAGTGAACAGTGTAGTAAAGAAAGCGAATGCCAGACTGAAGTTCCTCTACAGACAAGCACAGTGTCTACCTACTCAGGCTCGCAGAACCCTTATACAATGTCATATGGACACGCTTGATCTTCATGGTACTCTGCCTTGACAAAAAAAAAAAAAAACGAACTGAAAGATAGATTGCAAATCACCCAGAACAATATGGTAAGATTCATCCTGGACCTGGGTCCAAGAGAGCATGTAGGCCAGGATGAATTACAACAATTGGATATGCTGAATGTTGAAGACAGTAAAACAACTGAAGCTAAATCAAGTTTATAAAATTGCTCACAGTGTCCAGAATATCTTGATGCCAATTTTGTCAAGGCTGAGAACCAAAGCAATCATAGTACTAGGGGGAGAGGGCACAACTTTGTAGTACCCACAGTCAGTGGCCAGGCTTCAAACACCTTTTATTGTACAGCAATAAAGAAATGGAACAGACTGCCTGCACATGTCAAAGCCAGTCATAGCATGAACCAGTTCAAGATGACAGCCAAAAGGTGCCTAATGAATGTAGGAACAGAAAGGGAGGAGAATAAATTTTTTTTTTATCTAAAACACATGTAAATATAAATAGCTCATTTCACCTTATTCCTAGTATATCTCCTTTATAATATAATAATAAGATATTATCTTCTGTATAGTAGTATAATAATAAGGAATTAAAAGGATCCCAATGGAAATAAGTGAGTTTGTCTAACTTTTGTGGGTTATCCCAGGTTCTCTACACATATGCTGTTATGTATAATAATCTTTGTAACTGTAATTGTATATACCTGAATAAACTTGCATACTTACTTACTAATAAACTTACTTATAGCTGATAATATTCTCGTCGTAACGTTTAAATTTTACGCCCTTAAGCGTTGTGTGTCACGAGTTATTATTGGCTGAGAGTGAGTGGAGTCTCGGGCGAGGGACCAATGAGCGTTGCACTTACTGAACGTCTGGGGTTTGAAGTCAGTATTTCGGGTCAGTGGTGGAGTGAGGAGCTCTGGCATTTTCATATTTTTTTAAGGTAATGGAGGCGGTAGGAAGGTGTTGGTGGTGTGTATGGTAGGGTTAAAGAGGGCGGGGAGTGCCAGGAGGAGTGGCACAGTGTGGGAGGTTAGAGTAGTGAGGGAGAGGAGTGTGGAGTGTCTCAGGTGCCAGGGTGGTGGAGGTAAGGAGAGTGGCCGCCCCAACACTCCAACATTGATGGCAAGAAAACAATGAAGAAAAAACACGTGTGTTTACGTGGTACATCTCCTGCAGCACCAGCAGCGCCTCCTCACGTTGCTCCTCTACAGTCTAGAGAGACCGAGTTCCTGCAGGTCTAGCAGTGAAGCAGACGAGAGCCATATTTACGTTTTATTTCCCATTTTTTTATTATAATTTTTTTTGGTGTGCGCGGCTGGCAGTCGTGGAGGATGAGTCAGTAGCGGCACCCTCGGGACACACACTAATTTAAAAACTTGACAGTCTGCCTCAAATGAGAAAGATCCAGCCATTGTATTTGTGTAGACAAAAGTCCCTGATGGAGGTGTGGTCTAAGTGGGGCAGTTTTGTTTTTCTAACTGCATAACCCCTACGAGTTTACTGCTTCTCCAAGAATATAATTCCTCTTCTTAGTAACTTAGAACTTTATGGTTCTTAATTATGGTCCTTTAAGTCGAGCTTGATTGCTCTTCATTTTCTAGGTGTCTTATGACTTGAGTTTACCACTTAAGGTAATCAATTTTAATTAGGTACAGGTACACTTAAGTACATTTGTTATACATAGTGTAAATTACCTAGGATAACCCCCAAAATAAGTCAGTGACTTATTTCCATTAAGGTCCTTGTAAATGTAATGATACTGAGATTTTGTCATCAAGAACAGAACATTACATGTTAAGCAGGTAGTAGTTTATCACATACAAGTATTATGTATAATAAAAGTCACTTATGTTTGCAGGTTAGGTTATATAAGCTTATGAAAACTTGTTTCTAGTTACTTAAATATTGTAAGTTGCAAATGAGTGAATTCTGGACATACAGTAACGAGGTTCAGAATATTTGTTTACCATTTTAACTAAGCTTTCCCTGAAATTTCTTTAAGTATTTAAATCTACCTAGAAATCTGTTTTGTCTCCTATAGCCCTGTATATTGCTGTATTATGTATAATATAACACGAAAGTATAAATTCTATCCCAGATTCACAATTTGTATAATGTCAACATTGCACATGGCCTGTGTGTGATGTAGGATTATAGTACTGTAATACAGTACTATAATACAGTACTATAATGCTACAAAGAGCTCCTGAAGCCTGGAACTGCTTTGACATCATTATGCAAATTATTCCAGGACCCCAATGGAAACAAGTCACTTTGTCTGACTTTTGGGTTATCCTCGGTAATCTACACACATGCTGCTGTGTGTGATAATTTATGTAACTGTATTTATGTGTACCTGTACCTGAATAAACTTACTTCATATCTGCATAGAGGTTTTCAATTCCTGGCTGTATAGAATAAGTATTAGAAAGTTGTGTTCACTTTTCCATGGTGTGAGCGACTCATGGCTAGGTGGTTGTGTGTTCAATTCTTACCCAGGTTCAGTACTCGTACAACTCTAAGTATTTAAACAAGCCTTCATATACTTGATATTTATGTTCACTTGGAAGAAAATAAGTAAGGAGTTAATTGACAGTCAGGTCCTAGGAAAGAGTTGAAGGACCCCAGTATAAATAAGTTACACAACTTGAATTTCATTGTTTAGCTTGGGTTAATAATACAGTCATCGTTGTCTTGCGTTGAGCAGTGCTATGACCCATATGGGTTTAGTGCTTGTTTTTTTTAATATGTAGTAATGATAATATACCACATGGATTGTTTTGTAATTTTTCCTTTTTCAAAATTTGAGGCAAAATAGTCTACATACATATTCACATTTTTGCAAGCAGTATTATCTACCCCTTACACATTTTCAATTGTAATTCATCCTAGCCTACATTTTCTCTTGGATCTAGGTCTAGGATAAATCTAACCATTGTATTTTGGGTATTTTGTAGTCTTTTTCCGTTTTGTTAAGGTAGAGAACTGTACAGTACCATGACATTGTATAAGAGCTAGACAGTGTCCTGCATGCCTGACCAAGTAGACACAGTATCTGCCTATAGGGGAACCTCAGCCTATTTTTTTTATTATTATGTACGTTGTTCACTATCAATTCACCTGACATGTATGGATCAAAGAATATTTCAGTGATGTTACTGTTGAGGTCAATTCTACATTGTACAGTTCATTCAAATTATTTATAATTTTTTTTTTTTTTTTTTTTTTTTTAAGCCAAATAGTATGTACAGCCTCTCCTCACTTAGCGACGTACTCGTTTACTGATGCCTCGGACTTAAGACGGCCTCTCTGACCAGTATTCATACCTAAAAAATTATATTAGAGCTGATTTTCTCTATTCTGTTTATTTCAATATACAGTACACTACTATATACTGATATATTAAAAATATATCAGAAATGTTATAAATGGTGCAAAGGTGACAGTACACTACAATATACAGTACACTACTATACACTGATATATTAAAAATATATCAGAAATGTTATAAATGGTGCAAAGGTGACATTAAAACAATATCAGAGATGGTTGACACAAACCCACTACCATTACAGTACGGTGACACCTCACATAAGAATGGAGGAACACTGCAGAAGGCCTACTGGCCCATACAAGGCAGGTACTTATCAAAACGACCCCTACCCAAAGCTACCCAAGAATATCCTCCCGTACCCAATGACACCAATCAAACCCAGCCCCTCCTACTCGTATATTTGTCCAATCTCTTTTTAAAGCCACGCAAGGTCCTAGCCTCAGTCACCCTACCCGGAAGATTCTTCCACGCATCCACAACTCTGGAAAACCAGTACTTACCATATCTGCCCTGCCATTATCCAAGCCTTGCCAATATCCAAACAGGCCCTGGGAAAGGGCAAAATTCTAAAATTATTACTGAAACGTCCAAACAGCTGTTCGGATATGGCAGAAGGCTTAATCAGACTTGACAAGCACTTCAGTGTACCAGTTGGCTACTAGGAGCAGCGCTCTTCACCACCCCTGCCACCCTCTGTAATATCAAGAATGCTTGTGATAACACTATGGCCAACACAAGTGAGTTTTCTGCCTCAAAAGCTGGAAAAAGTGCCAAAAGAAAAGTGATGGCGAAGCCACAGAGCTTGGAACTCGATCAGTGCATGATAAAGTGGTACCTACAACATCATGGTAGTGGTATGATGGTTTGTGGCACCGAACTTAAAATGGCAGCAGAAAAATTCAGCGAGCAGATTTCGGAACATTCCGAAAGTGATGACGACCCAATGTCTCCAAGACCAAAATCTTCAGCAGCAAGGGCAGATGTTGAAACACTTTTGGAGTATTTGGAGCATCCACTGTCCACAGCCCATTTGAAAAGATATGATCCTGAAATTCAGGAGGTGGTTGTTAGAGCCCAGAGTGTCCAAAGTCCAGACGACTTTGGACTCTCTTTAAGCCTACAATGCCATCGTCAATGGCGATATGACGGGGTATGGATGGTGATATGATGGTACAGATGTGCATTTTTCCCCCTCATGTATTCGGAAACTCCATGTTTTCGAACCGTTCTTGTCCCATATAGTTCGGATACGAGAGGTATCGCTGTATGCTCCTCACTTAGCAACAAATTCGTTTGACAATGTGGTCTCAAGAACGGAACTCCGTTGTTTAGTGAGGAGAGGCTGTATACACTATGGCTTCTATTTTTGCTTAGGTCCAGTAATAACTCATCTATTAACCATTTACCTTGGTAGTACGTATAACCTGTGGGTGTTCTTACATTAAGAGATCTGTCATTTTGCATGTAATAACAATGAGCATACCACAAAAAAAAGTAAGTGGGCCCAAGATACTCCAGTGTGGAACTGGAGTATCTTGGGCCCACTTATTCGGGATTTGATTCTGTATTACTAAACTTGCTGATTGTAGTTCCTTATCCTATATACTTGTACTGTGGTTCGCTTATCAAATGCCTTTTGTAGTTTCAAGGTCAACATGGCTATGAAATTGCATTGTGACTTCTGGGTTCTTATATAATTCATCAGGTTAATTAAGGAGCCGTCTGTTTATTGAGATACCTTGAACCTGATTGGTATTTATGGAGGATGCTATTCTCATTAAGATAGTGCTTAATTACTTGATAATACTGTATGCTGCTTTCTCTTACAATTTTGGGCATAATGTTGAGTATCCTAACAGGTGTGTAGTTGTTGATATCTGTTGTACTATTTTTTGTGAAAATAGGAGTGATTCTGGCCACTTGAGCTTGTCCAACATGGTATGAGAGATGACAGATGACTTTGACTTGCAAAATTGTAATGATAAAATTGCAAGCAAATCAGTGAGTTGTTTGCAATAATATTAAGATTTTATGACATGATGGCAGCTCTGAGGGGACTTGAGCGAGCTGTAAACAGCGGAGTCTGACGCATGCCATGCAGTTGTATGAATGAGTAGTTGGATGAATCTTGTTAGGCCAGAATGGTCCAGTGGACCTGTGGGAGTTTTAAGCTTAATTTACAATGGGTTTATGCCCAACTTGTTCTGTGACTTGCTAAAGTTTTACTTTATTTTCGGTTCAATCATAGTTTTGTATAAACCGTGTAATTTGTTTGACATTGTTTTGTGTATTTTCAGAGTAAAGAGCCAGAATGGAAGAAGACACAGAATACCTCAAGCTGCCTCTGGAGGACCGCTGTGTACACAAGGTGAGGTTTTACTCTTTAAGTCTTAAAATAATGCCTGTGGGGACCTTGCCATCCTCTCTTGACATTTTAAGATGTTCATGAAGCAATACTTAGATAATGGTAAGGAACTGTTAGTTGCATTTGTAGATTAGAAGAGTTATATGATGAGGTGGATAGGTTACATTGTGGGAGATGTTGTAAATATGTGGAATAAGTATCTAAGGGTTACAAAGAGCATAAAAAAATGTGTAGAGTGAAGTTCAAGCTTGTCCCAGTTATTTTTATCATTCACTGTGTATGGAGTTTATAATTTTAACATTGAATTTATTTATACTGTATTAACATAGCTATTTATACTGTATTAACATGGCTATTTTTTAAATTTAACCTGAGCATAACCTTCTTTGAACAGGTAAACTTAAATTATCTCTTCTATTTTTAGCTGTGGAAAGCACGTCTCAATGGGTATGAAGAGTGCACAAAACATTTTGCAAAGATAACAGATGAACGCTCTCCAGAATTCAATAAATTCGCTCCTCTCATGAAGAAGTTTGTTACGGATAGTAATGCAGTTGCACAAGAAAAAGCTTTGGATGCAGTCTTGGCATTTGTGGAAAATGCCCACATTGCTGGCAAGTAAGTTTTACAGTTCTTGTACACCATATACTGTATATGCAAGTATTTCTTACTGGTCAGGAGAATAAATTTAAAGTATCTCCTGGCTAACTTGACCTTTGATTCTTAAGGAAGGTGGTTGAGTTATACCTTTCATTTTCAAGGAAAGTGGCTTAATTATACAGTATTCCTTAGTGCAAAAATATTCTTAACTGGAAAATCAACATTAATTGGTAACCCAATCATAATCTGCAATTCTGTTATATACTACTATGTACAATAATCATCTTGTCACTTCTTGTGTACACGACTCTTATAGCAATGTGACAGATATTGTTTACTACTTATGAAAATGAGCATAAAATTTACATTGATTTTTTATTAACAGAACTGCTGGTGATTGTACATCAGGTATAGTCCAGAAATGTTTAGCTGCTCCCAAGCGAGGAACACAGGAGAAGGCGTTGGAGGTTATTCTTTTATACTGTGAAATTGAGAAATATGAAGTGGTCCAAGAAGAGCTCATGAAAGGCTTTACACAAAAAAATCCCAAGGTCGTTGCAGGATGTGTACGTGCGTTAAGTACAGCTTTGAGGTATGTGAATATTAATTTTAGTTTGTAAAATAATTTGGATGCACATACCAGTCAGTACAACAGTTGTCATAAATATGTTATCTATAAGATTTCTTTTGTGAGAAAACATTGCATTTGTGTGAAAAATGCCTAGGAAGGGAAAGAAATAAGATAGGGTAAAGGAGGTTTTGTATACAAGGGGCTTAGATATCCAACAAGCATATATGAGGGTGTTAGGAGTGAGGGGAGGCAATTGGTTTTTATGACAATGTGCTGTTGAGTGTGAGTCAAGTAGCATGTATGAAGGGATTCAAGGAAACAAGTGAAGGTGGGAAGTACAGTGCCTGCACTCGGAATGATAGGGGTCGGAATATTGCAGTTTGGATGGGCAGCTGAACCATAGTACAGGAGGGCCCTGCTTATACAGCAGGTTAGGTTCCGGGCTACTTCTGTAAAGTGAAACGTAGCCTTTTTTTTCACTTTCAAATGCATATAAAAGCCTGATAACATGTTTACACTATCATATATTAAATGAGCTATAGAGCTCAGCCTTAAAAAATGCATATACACTACACATATTACTTACCTTAAAATGTTTTTGTCCTTTGCTTAAAGAGTAGTGAATGTTTATTGTAGGAAGTCTGAATACATGAAGAATGGGTGTAACAGAAAACCTCTGCACTAGCGAAACGCTGTGAAAGTGGGGCCTGCCTGTATTGGTGCACCTCTGGCAAGAATGAGATGGAGCTAGGTGAAAGTAGTTTCTTCTTTTTCAAGTTGCCCTACCTTGTTGGGAGATGGCCGGTGTGTTTAAAAAAAAATCGCATAGGGCTGTAAGGCATATTTTTGGTTTGTGATGGCTAAGATATTAATACAAAGCATATATTTTGCCGGTTTTTGAAATAATTGTGTATGAAAGGATTTATTTTGGATGTGTCTTCAGGTATTTACATATTTCATGTTTTCATAATGATTCTAACTACAGTTTTCCATCCTTTCTGGGGTGGTCCTCTACCCCATAATAGTTTTCTTTCTTAATTCATTAATTGATTTTTATTTACTAATGGATCTATTTATTATCAGGGAATTTGGGCCAAAAGTTATCAACCCAAAGCCCTTGATGAAGCAAATGCACACACTATTAGAAGACAGAGACAAGACTGTAAGAGAAGAGGGTAAAAAATTGGTAATCGAAATGTACAGATGGATCCGTCAAGCCTTGAAGCCTCAGATGTCTTCACTTAAACCAGTTCAGGTAATATGGAAACCTGCCATTTTTTCCATTTCTAGGTGTTCAGTACAAATCTTGACACCTTTATAAAATAAACCTACAAACATGTTTACTCTCAATTATGACTTTACTTTACTTTACTTTTTTTTTTTTTTTTTTTTTTTCAAATATTTTTGATAAGGACATGATTTTGATCTGTTCATTGTTCATCTGTTTCATTTCCTGGCTATCTTGAATGCTGCGTTGCATTTACCTAGAACCTAATTTTTTTTTCCTTGTTTCTTGTCAAGGCAGTATGATTAAAGAAGGAAGCAGTGAATTTCCTTTCTCTGCTTATGTAGAAAAAGTGGTAACAAGCCCATGGAAAGAGATTATATACCTTAATGAGAAGTTTAAGTGCATACTGAATGTAAGTAGGTTATAAGATTTGTCTGCAGTCTTAATATTCGAGACAGATGAAAGATCAGTAATTCTGCCAGGGTGCAAAAATCTTCAAAAAGCCTTCCGATTCAAGTAGAACAGCTGTATCTCTCAGGATTGTTGTCTTACTTGGGGAGGGACTCTTTATCCAAGGAATTGGACTTGCCCTTTCCTTGGAGTGAACCTGATTGCTTACCACTACTGGTTTAGCACTTCCCTTTAATTTTATTTTTTGAGTGAACTGACCATATCCCACTAAGGCAGTGTGACCTTTAAATGTTACGTAATAGTAAATGTTGCTGTCTAGCAACATACTTCCTCCTTATTTTTTCCATGCCTGCCATTTCCCAGTTAGGTAGTGTAACTCAAAAAACAAAATACATTTGCTATCATTGAATACTCGTCTTTCCAGGTGTGCATAAACATCACAATTCCAGTGGTCTTCTGAATTGTGGTATCCCCCATCTGTGCTTCAAAGAGCAATTACTGTACCTCCCACTTTTGGGTCTCTAGTTTATCTAAATGGTTACTCTAAATTCTTTCTTAAATGTCACCTTGCTCACATTCCAACATGTCAAAATTCCAAAGAATCCTTTACTTCACTTTGATCTAACACATTCATGCACCTACCACTTGGAATTACTTCATCTTCCCTTCCCCCAAACCTTTTTGGGACAAACCTTATACCTCCTGTTCATCTTGGATTTATATCCTCTTGGTCACCCTTTTCTATTCTTTCTAAATGACTAGTTAATCCTGACCTCTCATTTGCAATCTGAATTAAACCTTTCATATCTTCACTCCTAATTTCTGTGTTCATTTTTCTTACCTGAAATTCCATGTGTGTGTTCATAAAATAAGGTTTCGTATTGAAAATGTGGAGTGTTTCTTGATGGCCATTTTAAGAACCAATATTTTGTTAATAAAAGTCTCCATCCCAGCATAGTGTTGCAATGGTGGTTATGTGGCTCTACTTTTCCTTGCATTTTTTAATCACTTCTGCATGTGCTCTGAGGTCTGTTGAGAGCCCCTTGATGAACTCCCAAGTTTCATTGTCATTCTTAATTTTCCTCCATGCTGAGTTCATTTTCCTCTATCAGGTTTTAAGTGTTCTTTAATTTGTTCTTGGTGTTTTAGATAGTCGCCATTCCTATTCTTTCCGGAACCTGTAATCTAATGCATATTTCTCATATAAACATCCTGCTGCTATTTACTTTTTCTGTATAGCTTTGACTACTATTACAATCTGTTGTATAATTATTACTAATTTGGATTGTTTTTAACACTCCCGTTCTCTCATGTTGAGTTAGGGTGATCAGACAGACAAGAAAATGCTCATTCAATCACTTGCCAGAAAAGTGCCCACTACACAGTTCAGGTGACCGTCCAAAATACACCATCCTCACCCTCTACAGAGTGCAGGCACTGTACTTCCCACCTCCAGGACTTGAGTCCAGCTAACCCATTCTCCTGAATTCCTTCACAATTGCTACCTTGCTCACATCAGCTTCACGTCAAATTGTAAAAACCACCTGCCTCCACTCCTATCATATACACTCACACATGCCTGTTGGATGTTCAAGCCCCTGGTACTCAAAACCTCTTTTACCCCCTCCCTCCAGCCTTTCCTGGGATGACTCCTACCCCTCCTTTCCTCTACCCCAGATTTATATGCCTTCCTAGTCATCCTGTTTTCTCCTTCCTCTATATGTTCAAACCACCTCAAAAACCCCTCCTCAGCCCCACTGTATAATAATTTTGGTAACTCCATTCCTGATCTCCAAACTCTGAATTCTCTGGATAATATTTACACACAAATTGCCCTCAGACAAAATCTCTACTCCCTCCAACCTTCTCATTGCTGCAACATTCACAACCCATGCTTCACATCCATACAACAGTGTTGGTACCACTATACCCTGAGACATTCCCCTTTTTGCGTCCATGGATAACGTTCATTGTCTATTACATGTAATTGCCTGTGTTTTTAACAGTTATTCATGGAGTTGGCCCTTTATACAATTAAAACATTTAATTTATTTAAATTGCATCATTAGGTTCAAGAACTGGAAGCAGAATTTGAAAAGCTCGGTAATGAGAAGGTGGTTCAGACTCGTTTCCTACGATCACAACAAGAGCTTAGAGCCAAGATAGAGGCTCAAGAAGATGGAGAGGAAGATGAAGGTATTTACTGATAATTGCATATATTTATTAATTTTGGAATTTATTTTATTTTAGAATTGCAGTAAAAATGAGGACATGGCAACCATAAAAAATAAGTAATGCCTAAGTAAAAACTTTAAAGATTAGAACTTAAAATATGGTGTGTGGTCACCAAGACTATAATTTAGAGGGTTGTTAAAGTGGTTTGGGCAATCAGAGAGGATGGAGAGGGAAGGGATGACAAAGAGGGTGTATAAATCCAGGGTGGGAGATAGGAGGGGCAGGGGTCATCTCTGGGATTGTTGGAAGGAGGGGATAAATGAGGCCAATGAATTTTTTTAATATTGTACTGCACTTTATTTTACTTAAAGGTAGATTCCTAATCAGACTATGCCGAGTGGAAGACTTAGACAAGAACCTTGAAGCTGGGGAAGTACTCTTTGATCTCAGGAATTGTAGCTATCTTTCCATTCCTTGGATCAGATCTGATAGCCTTCCATTTCTCAGGTGCTATATGACCCCCTATGGAATTTACTTACCATGCTATCAAAGATGGGATTAAGCTAAGTATTGGTAGATTTTTTGGATACACCTTAAAAATAATTTACATTTTTCTTAAACAGATGAAGAGGAGGAAGAGGAAATGCCAGCTTTAGATCCCTATGACTTATTTGAACCAGTCGACATCCTATCCAAGTTGCCAAAAGATTTCTACGAAAAAGTTAGTGCTTGGTATTTCGTTTAACACTGGAAACCTTTAATTTACTCCTGTATCAAAGGAGGACAGCTTCTGCATATACAGTATTGAGTCATAAGATTGAGCACAAGTTATCTCTAATAAGGTTAAATATATAGTATAACTTTTGAATGGAATTTGATAAATAATGGCTCTTTTGTTTTAGGTTGAGGCTAAGAAATGGCAAGAGCGCAAAGAAGCAATGGAACTACTGCAACCCTTGACGCAGAACCCTAAATTAGAGCAGGGTGACTACCACGATCTCATGAAGGCACTGAAAAAAGTAGGTTTTATTTATTTTTTTTTTTTCAACAAGTCGGCCGTCTCCCACCAAAGCAGGGTGACCCAAAAAAGAAAGAAAATCCCCAAAAAGAAAATACTTTCATCATCATTCAACACTTTCACCACACTCAGAATACAACAGTTTAGAAGCATATACGTATAAAGATACAAAACATACCCCTCCAAACTGCCAATATCCCAAACCCCTCCTTTAAAGTGCAGGCATTGTACTTCCCATTTCCAGGACTCAAGTCCGACTATATGAAAATAACCGGTTTCCCTGAATTCCTTCACTAAATATTACCCTGCTCACACTCCAACAGATCGTCAGGTCCCAAGTATCATTTGTCTCCATTCACTCCTATCTAACACGCTCATGCACGCTTGCTGGAAGTCCAAGCCCCTCGCCCACAAAACCTTCTTTACCCCCTTTTTCCCAAACCCCTTTCAAGGATGCCCCCTACCCCCCTTTCCCTTCCTCTATAGATTTATATGCTTTCCATGTCATTCTACTTTGATCCATTCTCTCTAAATGACCAAACCACCTCAACAACCCCTCTTCTGCCCTCTGACTAATTCTTTTATTAACCCCCACACCTTCTCCTAATTTTCCACACTCTGAATTTTCTGCTTTAATATTTACCCCACACATTGCCCTTAGACAGGACATCTCCACTCCCTCCAACCGTCCTCCTCGCTGCTGATTTACCACCCAAGCTTCACATCCATATAAGAGTGTTGATACTACTATACTTTCATACATTCCCTTCACCTTTTTTCCCTCATCAATTCTATGATTAACCTCATCCTTCATAAATCCATCCGCCGACACGTCAACTCCCAAGTATCTGAAAACATTCACTTCTTCCATACTCCTCCCCAATTTGATATCCAATTTTTCTTTAAATCATTTGATACCCTCATCACCTTACTCTTTTCTATGTTCACTTTCAACTTTCTAACCTTACACACATTCCCAAACTCATCTATAACCTTCGCAATTTTTCTTTAGAATCTCCCATAAGCACAGTATCATCAGCAAAAAGTAAAATGTGTCAATTCCCATTTTGAATTTGATTCCCCATAATTTAATCCCACCCCTCTTCCGAACACCCTAGCATTTTCTTCTTTTACAACCCATCTATAAATATATTAAACAACCCACGGTGACATTACACATCCCTGTCTAAGACCTACTTTTACCGGGAAGTATTCTCCCTCTCTTTACACACCCTAACCGAGCCCACTATCCTCATAAAAGCTCTTTTCAGCATTTAGTAACTTACCACCTATTCTATATTTCTTGCAACATCTGCCACATTGCTCCTCTATCCACTGTATATGCCTTTTCTAAATCCATAAATGCAATAAAAACTTCCCTTTCCTTTATCTAAATACTGTTCACATATTGCTTCAATGTAAACACTTGATCTACACATCCCTACCCACTCTGAAGCCTCCCTGCTCATCTGCAATCCTACATTCTGTCTAACCCCTAATTCTTTCAATTATAACCCTAAACCCTATACTTTTCCTGGTATACTCAGTAAACTTATTCCTCTATAATTTTTATAGTCTCTTTTGTCCCTTTCCCTTTATATAAAGGGACTATACATGCTCTCCGCCAATCCCTAGGTACCTTCCCCTCTTTCATACATTTATTAAACAAAAGTACCAACCACTCCAACACTATATCCCCCCCTGCTTTTAAAATTTCTGTCATGATCCCATCAGTTCCACCTGCTTTACCCCCTTTCTTCTAGGGAATCCCTCCGCCCCCTCCACATTTACATTCTGCTTTCTTCACCCCTAAAAGAGGGTATCCTCCCGGGCCCGTGCAAAAAATTCCCGCCTCCCTTTCTTCCTCAACATTTAAATTCCTCAAAATATTTTTGCCATTCCCTAATACCTCCCTTCCCCATCTACTAACTCCCCTCTCTTTTTTTAAATGACAAACCCATATTTTTCCCTATGCTTTTTATTGTTTAACTCACCCAAAAATTTTTTTTCTTATTTTTTTAAAATTTTGACAGTGCCCCCCCCCACTCTTTATCTGCTCTCCTTTTGCACTCTCTCCCCACTCTTTTCACCTTTCTTTTACTCCCATATACTCTCTTTCTATAAACTTCTGCTTTGTAAAAACCCTCGTAACTACCTTTTTTTCCCTTTTTCACACCTTTTCTCATCCCCCCAATCACTCCCCTTTCCCCCTGCCCCCCCCTCGTATAAAAACAAACTTTTGCCCAAAATTCAATACTGATTTTTAAAATATTCCAACCCTCTTCAACCCCCCCAACTCACTTTTCATAGCCCACCTTTCTGCCAAAGTCGCTTATATCTGCCCGAATTCCTCCTCCCCATTTTTACACTTTCACCTCCCCCTTTTCTTTTTGTTGCCCCTTCCCCTTTTCCCCTCTACCCCTTACTCTAATTAGCACAAAAAATAATGTCCGAATATCAGTTGCCCCCCTATAAAATGTACATCCTGGAGCTACCCATAACATTTTATCCACCAAAAATAATCTAACAAATACTTTCATTACGTGCTCCCCTATACCTTGTATATTTATTTTTCCCCTTTTTTATAAATATGTTTACTTTTTACCAAATTTTTTTCTACAATAGTAATTAAAGGGTCCCCTTTACATTTACCCCTGGGACCCCCAAAATTTTCCTATACTCCCCCCCATAACATTTTACCCAGTTTAGCACTGAAATCCCCAACACCATTACTCTCACACTTGATTCAAAACTCCCCACGCATTCACTCAACATTTCCCAGAATCTCTCTCTCTCCTCTACACTTCTCTCTTCTCCAGGTGCATACACGCTTACAATAACCCACTTTTCACATCCAATCTTTATTTTACTCCACATAATCCTTGAATTTATACATTTGTAGTCCCTCTTTTCCTGCCATAGCTTATCCTTCAACATTATTGCTACTCCTTCTTTAGCTCTAACTCTATTTGAAACCCCTGACCTAGGTTTTATATTGTCGTTAAAATATTTCTGTAGAGCAAATCTCATTGAGTAAAAGCATCTGTAGAACGTTCATTATCTGTAGAATGCAGCTGTATGCTATAAGGAAAAAGTTAGAATCCTTTCTTCATTTCCATGTATTTTGCAGAAGGCAACTCAAAGGCCAAAAGCATGAGATTAATTATCCTTTCTCCAGATAGTAATAGGCAAAACTTCACAGAAATATACAGTGGTACCTTTACTTAGGAGTTTAATCCGTCCCCTGACCTAGCTTGTAACTCAATTTGCTCGTATATCTAATCAGTTTTCCTTATTGAAATTAATTGAATGCCATTAATCCATTCCAATAGAATTCATGCTCTCAGGAGGCAGGACAAAATACTTCGGTATAGCGCTAATATCAACTCTACGGCTTATTTACCTATCACAGTTGATCTAATGTGACATAATAAACAATATAAATAACATAGAAACATGATACGTACTCTAGAATGAATAATATTTGAATATTTATTTGACGAGTGGTGGCGGCCACTCCGAGGTAAAAATAATTATCTTTCTGACCATGTATTCCCATGCTTCCCCTTCTGAGGTCTTATTATAAGAGAAAATGGGTTTTTAGTGAGGCTGACTGCACTAGATCACTAGTTTCATAAGGAAAACACTGAAACTGTATTTATAAACAAAAATTATTGTATAAAAACAATAGAGAATGTAAAGAAATAAGCTGGTTTTATGAAGTGTATGTATTTACCTTGGAGGACAGCTGCTGGTGGAGGTGGAGGGTGGGAAAAGATAGACAGAGTGGTGTATGCTGTCAATGGCCCTATAAACCCCAACAACAGGTGGAGTTCGTTTCGTTTCATACTTTTTCTATCACTTACTTGCTACACTCTTAATGCTACACTTTATCATTGAACTTAACTGCTACAATTTTTTTTTTTTCTCACTTCACTTTTCACTGATTTACTTGCTACACTCTTAATGCTACACTTTATCGACGACTCCTGCTTTAGTATCGTACATATCATAAAAGTACAACACTGGTACTACCTAGCCAAGTCCACAACCCGCACACCTCACTTGTGTTTATCTATGATTTCATGCTTTAATTCAATGGACATTATCCTCTTTTTCTTCTCAGCATTGTCCTTTGCACTTACTTTCTTAGGACCCATGGTTAGAAAAAAGAAATTTGGCAAAATAACTGCACAAAACGGAAGCACAACACAAGAGAAATGATTCCTCGGTGAGGTAAACACATGCACTGCTGAGCAGATGTGGTGTTCACTGTGCCAACTAGTGGTGGCATTCTGAAGCTCGCTCATAACTCAAATTTTGGCTCATAACTCAGACCAAAAAATCGACTGAGTGACAGATCACAACTCGGAAAACTCGTATGTTGGGTCACTCGTAAGTCGAGGTTCCACTGTATTTTAATTAGTGAAAGGAAACTGATTAACTTGACAGTGAAAAATTGGTTAGGAGTATTTGAATAGGAAGGTATTAGCTCATAAGAGCTAAGAAAGGTATGGCATCATTGTTTAACAAATAAGGAAAAATTACGCAAACATTTTAGTTACAAAATGTATGTGGAAATGAGAGTAGGATGCAAAAACTGATAATATATAATTACTTATTTAATTTTGTAGGGTAAGTAGGCTTTAGCTCTTGGCTCCACTTTGACTTGATATTTACCTCTGAAACTGTATGAAGTTGGCTTCCACTGTGCTCACCTTGTCATTCTTCTTTTCTACTTAGGAGGCAATAACACTTTCAGATGTTTGATGTTCCACTGACTAGTGTGTAGCTTCCACTCTGTACTCTTGTTCTAATTTCTCCTTTGATGAAGAGCTTATTCTTGTCTACCTTGTGTATACCCTGGAGTGTTTTGTCTTGTGACTGTTATCCCAGTTCTTCTAGTTTATAGCTGCCATCTGTCTGTTGCATTCTTTCCTAAGAGATTATTACCCTCAGTTTAGACAGCATTAGGCTGGGCATGCTTTTTTGTATTTTAAGAGTTTTAATTTGACTAGGCGAGGGGTTCCTCACAGATGTGGCACACGAGAAGGTCGGAAATGAGTTTTTGCTCATGTTTCTGAATAACATTATTTTGTTTTCCAGTATAGCATGTTGCTAGTGTGGTAAGAAAGTTATGAGGCAGAGGTCAAATGAGAGAATGGGTGAGAAGTGATAAACTAATTGTATTGAATTCTTGCTTATGAATAAGCTTTTTTCATGTATATGCACTTAAGCCCACCTGTGGGAGATACACACCAATAAACTACACTTCTGTAATTGTTGTTGTTACCTCCTTTTGTCAGTATTGTGTGCAGTTTGCCACAGAACGGGTAAGTCTGTCAGTCATTTTTGCTGTTAATATAAATGAAGTTTTAGAAGAGAGAGAGAGAGAGAGTACTTGAGAAGTCCTGAATATTATATGGACTTTGCAGTTAAGAATAAGTGGGAATGGGAAGCTTTAGATGTACTCATCTATACATGGTCTTAGCTCTTGGACCTGCCTCTCAACTTGCAGTTTGCCAGATTAACTCTTCCAAGCCTTGCAGGGCCTATTGTACCTGCTTTTAAAAAAAAAACTACGTATGGAATCTACCTCCAGCACTTCTTGGTCAAGTGCATTCTACGTTCCTGATCACCCTGTGACTGAAGGAATTATTCCTGACATCCCTGTGACTCATCTGTGTCCTAACTTGCAGTTATACTATATATGATTTAGTAGAAGTAAGGAAAAGCCAGAGGTTAAGTGTTGGGGGAAAAAGTGCATGAGGCAAATAAAAGGGGTTAAAGCAGCTGGGTCAAAAGGGATTAAGACATGCTAAAAGCAGGTGGGGATTTGGATTGGGAATGGATGATGTACTTGTTCATGATATGTATGAAAGAAAGGTAAGTATGTAAGGATTTGTAGAGAACATGACATAGATACTTTGTATAAAAGAAAAGTGAACAAAAAAGAGAGTAAGAATTATAGGGGAAGCAGCTTTTTGAGTATACCAGGTAAATTGTACTTTAGAATTATTGTTGATAGAGTTTAGGATTATGCAGTAAGAGTGCAGAGGAACAGGGAAAATTTAGGAGGGGTTGGCGATGTGTAGATAAAGTTAATGTTGAAACCTGTGTGATCCATACTTAGGTAAGGGTAAGGAACTCATTAGTTCATATACGGATTTAAAAAAGGCATATGATAGGATGGATAAGGAATCAGTGGGGCAGATTTTGCAAATGTGTGGAATAAGTAGTAGGCTACTAAAATTGATAAAGCATTTGTATAAAGAAAGTAAGACTCAGATTAGGGTATGTAGGACAGAAAGGGACCATTTTCCTGTAGAAGTCCTTAGCAATATTTGATGTAACCCTAGTTGAGTATATTTGCAGATTGGGTTGTAAAAGAATTGAATGAAAGGGAGTTGGGGAGAGGTGTGCATTTGAGTGTGTGTAATGTCTTGAATTGTGCACTTGTCCTTATTTACAATCATACATTTCCAGTCTTTCTTTCTTTCAACACATCGGCCGTATCCCACCAAGGCAGGGTGGCCCAAAAGGAAAAACGAAAGTTTCTCCTTTTACATTTAGTAATATATACAGGAGAAGAGGTTACTAGCCCCTTGCTCCCGGCATTTTAGTCGCCTCTTACAACATGCATGGCTTACGGAGGAAGAATTCTATTCCACTTCCCCATGGAGACATTTCCAGTCATTGTTTTTATTTGGATGGAAGATAGTTTGATAAAGAGGGTGTATAAAGTAGTGATTGATGGAGAGTTGCACCCAAGTGGCCTAAGGATTTATGATGTTGCAGTGTGAAAAATGTAAGGGAATTTTGTAGTTGGAAAACTGCATGCACAGCACATTTTAAGTACGCTGGTGAAGAAGAGAGAGTTGTAATACAATGAGTCAATACTGGAATTTGAGGCTGTCTACCCTCTGGAATGGTAACTGGAGTGAGTAATAGTGAATGCTTTTCTTTGGGTCACCTTGTTTATATAGGAAACAGGTGATGAGTTACACAAGAAAATATTTTGGGTTAAGCATGAAAGTTAGTATGATAGTAATATGTATATAGAGGCTTAATTTTTTAATAATATATATAATATACATGGAGACGAACGGTATTTGGGACCTGACTATCTGTTGGAGTGTGAGCAGGGTAATATTTAGTGAAGGGATTCAGGGAAACCGGTTATTATTATATAGCCGGACTTGAGTCCTGGAAATGGGAAGTACAATGCCTGCACTTTAAAGGAGGGGTTCGGGATATTAGCACTTTGGAGGGATATGTTGTGTATCTTTATACGTATATGCTTCTAAACTGTTGTGTTCTTAGCACCTCTGCAAAAACAGTGATTATGTGTGAGTGAGGTGAAAGTGTTGAATGATGAAAGTATTTTCTTTTTGGGGATTTTCTTTCTTTTTGGGTCACCCTGCCTCGGTGGGAGACGGCTGACTTGTTAAAAAATATATATATATATATATGGTTAGGTATGTATTCACTTACTATGTGTATGGTAATGTTTTTTTTTTTTTTTTTTTTATCACACCGGCCGATTCCCACCAAGGCAGGTGGTAATGTATTCATGCTATTCTGTTTCTTTGTTATTCAGATCATCGGCAAGGATTCCAATGTAATGATAGTGGCACAAGCAGGATTGTGTGTGGCAGGGTTGGCTAAGGGACTGAAAAAGAAATTCCAGCCCTTTTCACTATCATTTACAGAGACAATCCTGGAGAAGTTCAAAGAAAAAAAGGCTAATGTTGTCACTTCTATGCGTGAAGCCATTGATGCTGTGTACCAGACGGTAAAGATGCAATTTTCTTATTTTGCTCATTGCATGTACAATTTTAACAAAGGCATTTACATTGCACTGTAGCAAGAGTGTAGCAGACTAAAGGGGAAAGTGTCTTGAGTGTCTTTTAAATCAGAATAATGTTTAAAAATAGCCAAAAAAAAAAAAAAAAGCATTTGATAACTTCATTGTATACAGTACCTATTATGGTACTATATACACTTTGCAGCTATAATGCAATAAAAATTGAAAATATAGAAGTTAAAAGTGGTTTTTACCCTTTGATTTTAAAAGTTCATTAGGTCACTGGAATAACTGAAAGTTGATGTCATTCATGAGTTTTTTTTTTTTTTTTTCTCAGTTACGTGTTGGTAATAGATTAGGTTTTCAAAATTTTACGTTTTACATTTAAGAGTTATAATTTAACCCAGATTGCTGCCATAACTGTACAGTACACAAATAACCCGCACATAGGACAGAGGAATTTACCACGACGTTTTGGTCCGACTTGGACCATTTACAAACTCAGTGTGACTATGTAAGTGGTCCAAGTCGAACTGAAACATCATGGTAAGCTATGTGCAGGTTATTTGTGTGTTGTTCCTGCCATGGTATTGTGTCTTTTTATTCTTCATAACTGTACAGTAGTTAAAATACCTTTTAATGGTACCATTTATATCCTTCATTTAACCCTTTGACTGTTTTCGACGTATAAATACGTCTTACGAGCCAATGTTTCTGACGTATATATACTCAATAATTCTAGCGGCTTCAAATCATGCGGGAGAAAGCTGGTAGGCCCACATGTGAGAGAATGGGTCTGTGTGGTCAGTGTGCACCACATAAAAAAAATCCTGCAGCACACATTGCGTAATGAGAAAAAAAAAACTGATCGTTTTTTTGGAATAAAACGCCAACTTTGAGGTGTATTTTCGTATAGTATTTATCGTTGTATTCGCGTTTTCATGGTCTTAGGTGATAAAATGGAAAACATATTACAGAAATAGAGATGATTTTCATTACTTTGACGATGAAAACGACCTTGAAACTGAGCTCAAAGTAGCGGAAATGTTCGATTTTTACCAATGTTCAGGAGTAAATAAATCACACCACACGTCCAATACACGTCAACTGGGGAGTCTAATATTCTTTCACTAGTGCACTGATATTATTTATACCATTTTTACAATAATGCAGTAGTCTGCATAACAGTAAATTTTGTATTTTTTTGTATGAATAAAAAATCAAAATAGAAAGCAATAATAATATAAGAGGGGCCTATTGATGTGACTAATGAACAGAGCATATGTTATTTTAGTGCCACGAATGTCTACCTTGTTTATTCTGGACCCTATTTTGAAATTGGCATCTTTTTTAGTTTGCGTGAAATTGGCCAATTTGCCAATTTCTGACCACCATATTGGGTAGTCCAAATTAGTAAATGGGAAGTTTCTTGTACTCAGCTGAGAGATAAAATGGAGTTCTAAAGAAATAGCTATGAGTTTGGTCAACTGGAACAATGGAATTGGCTGAAAATACGGCTCAAAGTCGGCGAAATCGCCGATACGCATATGTCGCCGAGACCGCTAAATTCGCCGGAGCATAATTCCATGAGTTTTCAACCAAATTTCGAACTTTTGGTGTCATTACCATCGGGAAAAGATTCTCTATCATTTCATAAGAAAAAAATAATTTTTTTTTTTTTTTTTCAAAAATTGAGCGACATAGAATGACAGTTTCAGAGAGGGGCCTGAAACAGTCAAAGGGTTAATGATTTATTTTTAGATGGCTGTGTGGTGGTGGTTGATTGTAACAATAGTAAACTCATATTCCCATGTGATACTGTGACTCAGTATTACTAAAAAAATGTCTACAAACATGTTTCGTGGAAGCATTAGTAAATTTTATCATCCTTTCAGACCACCTTAGAAGCTATACAAGAAACAGTAAGTGCAGCTCTGGCCAATAAAAATCCACAAGTGAAAGCTGAGACTACAGCATTCCTGGGAAGAGCATTATGTTATTGTACCCCAGTAATACTCAACAAAAAACTGTTGAAAGTCATTACTACAGACCTTTTGAGAGGCTTAAATGAATCAGGTTAGGTTTATTTTGTATTGCAATATTAATGAACATAGTTTGTGGGGTAAAACCTGTATATTTCTATTTTGCTTGATCACATTGCCCCATGTTTTAAGGCCCTCTTTATTTTCTCTTTACAAAAATCTCAGATTTTTTAGCACTTTTTAAAATTCTTTTATCAAATACTTAGGATACCATTTTTGGTCCTTTTCTGCAACTTCAGTCATTGCCTTCTGTTATACAGTTTGTATTTTTCCTTTAATTTATTGTTTTCTGTAGAAAAGCATTTTACAATGTGTTGTAAGTTACATCTTTTGCAGATCCTACTGTTCGTGATAACTCGTGTGAAGCTCTGGGTGTTTGTTTGAAAGTGGTGGGAGAGAAACAAATGATGGCGTTCATTGCTGATGTCGACAGCTTAAAAATGCAAAAGGTATTGATTCATGCTTGTTACCCAAGGCTATACAGTGTTAAATAAGTCATTCCAAATCGTATTGAGATAAATAGAATTCAAACGTTTTATAAATGTAAAAGCATTACAAATATAACCATATGAAGACTGAATGTAAAATTTGGGCTGAAGGAATAATAGGCTGTTAACCAGGAGAAGATGAGAGTAATTAACAATGCATATTATATAGTGAGTTATTTCACATAATTCCAATTTTGGATGTCAAGTGACTACTTTGATAAAGTACCTTTTTTTATAATTTGGTGTTAGATATACTGAAAGTCTGCTGTACTCCATATTTAAAATTCATGCATTTCATAAACTATATGTCTCTTGCTTTATGATATAGATGCAGTCTAGGGTTTTTGCGGCTGTACTAAGCTCAGTCAGGCCATAAACGCTTTATTCTTTACAAAAAAATCTTCAGTGAGCTTTGAATTTACAGATAGAAATAGGACACTGCATAATGGTGAATTCACATAAAGCAAGGGTAATCTATATATCTTAGTGGTTTGTTGACTAGTGGGATAAAATGAGCGCTTTGGGATACCTTTTTTTTTTTTTTTTTTTTTTTAACAAGGAGGCCATCTCCCACCGAGGCAGGGTGACCCAAAAAGAAAGAAAATCCCCATAAAGAAAATACTTTCATCATCATTCAACACTTTCACCTCACACATAATCACTGTTTTTGCAGAGGTGCTCAGGACACAACAGCTTAGAAGCATACATGTATAAAGATACATAACATTTACATATAATGTGATCTAAGCCATTCCTGGTGCAGAAAATGTGAAAAAGAGAAGGAAAGTAAGAAAGATTATAATTAATATACCAGGCCCTTATTTTAATTTGTTTTTCTAAAGAATAGGCAAATTAAAAGCTGATAGAACCAGCCTCCCCTCTTAAAGAATGTAGCTTCCCTCTGCAAGTAAGGAAAGGCAAAATTAGAAGAAAACAGAAAATTACATATAGTACAAGAGAACAAGTAAGATACATGTACTGTACAGCAATACATAAAGCAGAACAAGAAAGTTGTACTGTAAAATAGAAATATGCACAAGAGTAAAGCAGTATGAATTTGTCCTAAACCATTCGTATAAAACAGGTACACTATACGTAGCTTTTCATCCACAGATCAAGGAGGCATCAGAAAAGGCAGAGTTAAAAGTAAAGATATCTGCTCCAAAAGCCAAAAAGCAAGTAGCAAGCAAGAAAGAGACTTCCAAGCAAGCAGAGGCTTCAGCTTCTGGTCCAAGTAAAGTTGTTAAGGGAGGAGCCAAACGGGCTCAGTTAGACCCAGCCAAAGGAAAGAAAGGTATGAAATGTTAATTCAATGTCCTTATTCTTAAATTTACATTTTGCTATAAATAAATTTATACAAACGAATAATATACTGTACTGTTGTAATATTTTTTAAATTTCACAATTAAATTACATTTTCATTGGAGTGCAACAAATTACTTCATATAATGGAGTTATGTTGGTTATAGTTTTCCTTTATAATTAACTAAACATCAACTTGGGTAATGATGATAGACATACGTTTTCTGTAGCCCTGAAGTTTCATTTCTCCATAGTAGGACCAACCCTTCAGGCAGGGTTCCTTGATGGTGGTAAAAGGCCCTTCATCAAAGGAATTGTATCTCACCTCCCCTTCCTTTGATCACTCCTGATTGCCTGCAGTTTTCTCAAGTGCTGTATGACCCCTGTGAGTTTAGATCCTCTCCATGAATGTAGTAACAAAAGTCCTTAATAGTTGCACAGTTCTCTTGTTAAAAAAATATTTTGTTTAACAGTATCAGCTGGAAAAGGCATTAAAGGTGGTGGAGGTGGGGGAAGCAGAGGAAGAGGGTCTTCTGTGGAGGATTGTAAAGAAGCAGAAATCTCCCTAGAAGAAGCGTTAGAGAAAGCTGGAGAAGTAATGCCTGAAGATGTCATGAGTGGAATTACTGATGGGAACTGGAAGACTAGATTAACTGCTGTGGAATCCTTCATTGAGGTAAACAAATGTGGAGGGAGATAAAGATGTGTTGGATGAGATTTCAGATGACAGACTGAGAAATGATACATATTATAATCTTAATATTGAATTGCAGTGCAAAAAATTATAGAGATGAAAGTATTCACACGATATTGTGATAGTGTACAGATATGTGTTGACTGGAAGATTGATTGACATCTGGCATGTTCTTGAAAATGAATCTTAGGAATAGAACAATTGCCATAGGGAGAATACTGTATATTCTTTCTTTCAACACACCGGCCATATCCCACCGAGGCGGGGTGGCCCAAAAGGAAAAATGAAAGTTTCTCCTTTTACATTTAGTAATATATACTGGAGAAGAGGTTACTAGCCCCTTGCTCCTGGCATTTTAGTCGCCTCTTACAACACGCATGGCTTACGGAGGAAGAATTCTGTTCCACTTCCCCATGGAGGTAAGAGGAAATAAACAAGAAGAAGAGCTAGAAAGAAAATAGAAGAAAACCCAGAGGGGTGTGTATATATATGCTTGTACATGGATGTGTATTGTGACCTAAGTGTACTTAGAAGTAGCAAGACGTACCTGAAATCTTACATGTGCATGAGATGGAATAAAAAGACACCAGCAATCCTACCATCATGTAAAACAATTACAGGCTTCCGTTTTACATTCACTTGGCAGGACGGTAGTACCTTCCCTGGGCAGCTGCTGTCTACCAACCTAATACCTAGAATACTGTACATGTATATGCAATTCCTAAATAAATTTAGTGGTTTTTCAGCTAATAACCCCCCTAAAAAAAAAAAAAAAAAATCACGACAGTACATTCTATACTCTGAAATGTTGTGTCAGTATTTTTAACAATATTTTGAGTAAACACTGCTTTCGCACAGTTAATAAGCTTCATTAACCCTGTTAGGTTCGGTTCTATATATGTACAGCTTGATAGCCAGTGTTTGTCCCGTATTTATATGCCAGAATGATTGTGGATGTTATGAATGAGAAGAAGCTGGATGCCCTGGCTTTAACCCTTTGTGGGGTTGACAGGTCCTCTCAGAGACTTGTTCTCAGGGTCAGCCAAATTTCAAAAAAAAAAAAAAAAAAAAAAAATTTCTTATGAAAAGATAGAGAATCTTTTCCCGATCATAATGACACCAAAAGTATGAAATTTGATGGAAAACTTACGGAATTATGCTCTCACGAAGTTAGCGGTCTTGATGATGTTTATGCATCGGCTATTTTGTCCACTTTGAGCCCTATTTTCGGCCAATTCCAGTGTACTAGTCGACAAAAATCATAACTATTTCACTAGAACTCCCTTCTTTCTATTGAATGAGTACAAGAAACCACCCATTTACCCATTTCAACTATCCAATAAAGTGGTCAGAATTTAGCAATTTTGCCAATTTCACACAAATTTCAAAAGATGCCAATTTCTGAATAGGGTCCAGAATAAACAAGAAAGACATTCCTGGCACTAAAATAACAAGTTCTCTGTTAGTCACATCCCCAGGCCCCTTTTATATTTCTTTGGCTTTCCACTTCGAATTTTTGTTACAAAAAAAAATAAGGTTTACTGTTATCCAGACTACTGCATTAGTGTAGAAATGGTATAAATAATATGAGCGCACTTGTGAAAGAATATTAGACTCACCAGTTGATGTGTATTGGACACTTGGCATGATTTGTTTACTTTTGAACTTTGGTAAAAATCGAACATTTCTGCTACTTTGAGCTCAATTTCAAGGTACTTTTCTTTGTAAAACCAGTCAAAATCATCTCAGTTTCTGTAATATGTCTTCCATTCTATAAAATGAGACCAAGAAAACTAGAATACAACAATAAATACCATACGAAAATACAGTACAAAGTCGCTGTTTTAATCCAAAAACACGGTCAAAGTTTTTTTTTTCTCATTACGCACTGTGTGCTGCAGGATTTTTTTTTTTTACTGCACGCACTGACCACATAGACCCATTCTTTGTTATGTAGGCCTGCCAGCTTTCTCTCACTAGATTTGAAGGCGCTAGAATTTTGGCGTACTAGTACATCAATAACCCTGGGTCATAAGACGTACAAGTACGTCCGAAACCCCCAAAGGGTTAAGTGAAACAAAGCTGATGGGGGTGGGTGAGTTTCAGTGGAGAGGAATAAATGGGATTAGGTCAGGGGTTTCAAATAGCATTAGAGCTAAAGAAGGTGTAGCAATAATGTTGAAGGATAAGCTATGGCAGGAAAAGAGGGACTATAAATGTATTAATTCAACGATTATATGGAGTAAAATAAAGGTTGGGTGTGAGAAGTGGGTTATAGTAAGTGTATATGCACCTGGAGAAGAGAGAAGTAGAGAGAGGAGAGACGGATTTTGGGAAATGTTGAGTGAATGCGTGGGGAGTTTTAAACCAAGTGTGAGAGTACTTGTGGTTGGGGATTTTAGTGCTAAAGTGGGTAAAAATGTTGTGGAGGGAGTAGTAGGTAAATTTAGGGTGCCAGGGGTAAATGAAAATGGGGAGCCTTTAATTGAGCTATGTGTAGAAAGAGGTTTGGTAATAAGTAATACATATTTTATGAAAAAGAGGATAAATAAATATACAAGGTATGATGTAGCGTGTAATGAAAGTAGTGTGTTAGATTATGTATTGGTGGGTAAAAGGTTGATGGGTACGCTCCAGGATGTACACTGATATATCGGATCATTATCTAGTTGAAGCTGCAGTTAGAGTAAGAGGTAGATGGGATAAGAGGAAAATAGCAACAACAACTGTAGTGTAAAGCACCCTTCTGGCAAGACAGTGATGGAGTGAATGATGGTGAAAGTTTTTCTTTTTCGGGCCACCCTGCCTTGGTGGGAATCGGCCAGTGTGATAATAAAAAAAAAAAAAAAGTAGGAGGGAGGTGAAAGTGTATAAACTAAGGGAGGAGGAAGTTCGGGTGAAATATAAGCAACTATTGGCAGAAAGGTGGGCTGGTTTCAAGTATGGTTTGTGACGGGGTTGAAGAGGGTTGGAATAGTTTTAAAAATGCAGTATTAGAATGTGGGGCAGAAGTTAGTGGTTATAGGAGGGTGGGTGCAGGAGGAAAGGAGTGATTGGTGGAATGATGAAGTAAAGGGTGTGATAAAAGAGAAAAAGGTAGCTTATGAGAGGTATTTACAAAGCAGAAGTGTTATAAAAAGAGTGGAGTATATGGAGAGTAAAAGAAAGGTGAAGAGAGCAGTGAGAGAGTGCAAAAGGAGAGCAGATGATAGAGTGGGAGAGGCACTGTCAAGAAATTTTAAGGAAAATAAGAAAAAATTTGGAGTGAGTTAAACAAGTTAAGAAAGCCTAGGGAACGAATGGATTTGTCAGTTAAAAACAGAGTAGGGGAATTAGTAGATGGGAACATGGAGGTATTGGGTAGATGGCAAGAATATTTTGAGGAACTTTTAAATGTCGACGAAGAAATGGAGGCGGTAATTTCATGCATAGTAGGTTGGTAGACAGCAACCACCCAGGGAAGTACTACCGTCCTGCCAGATGACTGTGAAACAGAAACCTGTAACTGTTTTGCATGATGGTAGGATTGCTGTTTTCTTTTTCTGTCTCATAAGCACGCTAGATAACAGGGATATCTTGCTACTCCTACTTACACTTTGGTTACACTTCACAGACACGCACATGCATATATATGTACATACATCTAGGTTTTCTCCTTTTTCTAAATAGCTCTTGTTCTTCTTTATTTCTTCTATTGTCCATGGGGAATTGGAAAAGAATCTTTCCTCCGTAAGCCATGCGTGTCGTATGAGGCGACTAAAATGCCGGGAGCAATGGGCTAGTAACCCCTTCTCCTGTAGACATTTACTAAAAAAGAGAAGAAGAAAAACTTAATAAAACTGGGATGCTTAAATGTGCGTGGATGTAGTGCGGATGACAAGAAACAGATGATTGCTGATGTTATGAATGAAAAGAAGTTGGATGTCCTGGCCCTAAGCGAAACAAAGCTGAAGGGGTAGGGGAGTTTCAGTGGGGGAAATAAATGGGATTAAATCTGGAGTATCTGAGAGAGTTAGAGCAAAGGAAGGGGTAGCAGTTATGTTGAATGATCAGTTATGGAAGGAGAAAAGAGAATATGAATGTGTAAATTCAAGAATTATGTGGATTAAAGTAAAGGTTGGATGCGAGAAGTGGGTCATAATAAGCGTGTATGCACCTGGAGAAGAGAAAAATGCAGAGGAGCGAGAGAGATTTTGGGAGATGTTAAGTGAATGTATAGGAGCCTTTGAACCAAGTGAGAGAGTAATTGTGGTAGGGGACCTGAATGCTAAAGTAGGAGAAACTTTTAGAGAGGGTGTGGTAGGTAAGTTTGGGGTGCCAGGTGTAAATGATAATGGGAGCCCTTTGATTGAACTTTGTATAGAAAGGGGTTTAGTTATAGGTAATACATATTTTAAGAAAAAGAGGATAAATAAGTATACAAGATATGATGTAGGGCGAAATGACAGTAGTTTGTTGGATTGTGTATTGGTAGATAAAAGGCTGTTGAGTAGACTTCAGGATGTACATGTTTATAGAGGGGCCCCAGATATATCAGATCACTTTCTAGTTGTAGCTACACTGAGAGTAAAAGGTAGATGGGATACAAGGAGAATAGAAGTATCAGGGAAGAGAGAGGTGAAGGTTTATAAACTAAAAGAGGAGGCAGTTAGGGTAAGATATAAACAGCTATTGGAGGATAGATGGGCTAATGAGAGCATAGGCAATGGGGTCGAAGAGGTATGGGGTAGGTTTAAAAATGTAGTGTTAGAGTGTTCAGTAGAAGTTTGTGGTTACAGGAAAGTGGGTGCAGGAGGGAAGAGGAGCGATTGGTGGAATGATGATGTAAAGAGAGTAGTAAGGGAGAAAAAGTTAGCATATGAGAAGTTTTTACAAAGTAGAAGTGATGCAAGGAGGGAAGAGTATATGGAGAAAAAGAGAGAGGTTAAGAGAGTGGTGAAGCAATGTAAAAAGAGAGCAAATGAGAGAGTGGGTGAGATGTT